CCCGCCGGCTGCGCTGCCGCTTCTCTGCCTGCCCCTTAAGTTTAGTCAGAGAACTCGCCCGTGTCAGTGAAATAAAGCCTCTCAGCGTGACCGGTTGTGTCCCTGCTTTCCACACGAGCATGTTTAGGAAGGGGACCGGGGCAGTGAAGCCCCTGTGCCCTGTCACGCAGCATGTGAAGTGGTAATGGGCAGGGGGGTTTTAAACAGCACGGGCATCATCCATCGAAGTGTTAGACGCTGAAGTTGAAACTCAGGTTGTTAGGGTTGGGTACCTGCCAAGGAGTGACCGCAACGAGCGCGTCGCACAGCGGTTTGTGACAGGAGCAGAGCGGCTCAGAGCTGGGCCCTGTCTTTCCTGAGCCCCACGGCCGGGAGGGCTGCGGGCTCGCCTGACTTTCTTGTTGAAGTACGAGAAAAGCTTCGTTGTCTGAACGGTTCTTGTTATATACACGTAGCTGTAAGTACAATAGTCTTTGCCTCTACTACTGAAAGTAACGGTGCTGTTAGAGCCTTGAAGTTGTATGCAGATTATTAGAAGTCTTTTAAACTAACTCTAGTTTACTAACTGAGGATTTTATAAGGAAAAATAAGGGAAAATGTCATGGCTTTTGCTATCAATCTGCAGCTGTATTTACAAATACATTTGAACTGGTTATTTCAGCTACCTACAGAGTAATTTTTTAAAACAGCCCTGCCTTTTTTGTAAAAATTGTCACTTGGTGTGGCAGGGTTGATTTAGTGTTGGTAAGGTTATTTATAACTTTATTAGCATCATATTCTTAATTAAGTGGCTTGCTGAAAGTCTGGAAAGTGCTCAAAGTGGTGCTCAAATTTCTAGGGTTTCTGCCTCAGTGTTGACTTGAGTGTGATACCACAGATATTATCAAATACAAAAAAAGAAAAAATAGGAATTAAGATTTAATTTAACTAATCTGTCAACAATTGAATGCTTGCCTTCTAAGTTTAACAGGTGCTGAATCCATTTCTGACTTGTTATGTCATAGGACATGCAGCATCATTGACTGCAGTTCTGTGGTGGTGATGAAACTGATGTAATTTCCGTAGCTGTAAGGAATTGGCTTGATTGTAGTATTATGAATTGCTTTGTGGTGAAAAAAAGGACTGTCAAGATACATACTGATGCGCCTGAAAGACAGCTGAACAAATAACTTATAAAGTAAGGAAATTGTTATTTGTGTGTGTGAATTCCTAGCTATGTTCCAGCAGTTGATTTTTAAATTAAAAAATAGTTAAAAATAATTGGCGCGCTCTGACTCTTAAGGGCAAGAAAGCATTAGAACAGGCTTCTTGATAGAGCAACTAAAAATTCTAACTCATCTAATGGTAGCAATGTGTTAAAAAAATAGCTAGAAGTAAGTTTTTTTCATGATGATAAAGCAGGACTAGCACTATACAGAGAAGTTGTTTAGAGAAGATGGAAATACTTTTTTTAAAAAAAAAAATAACATTGTGCTGTTTTAGTCCTGGTTGATTTAGTTGAGTGTTTATGGAAGAAGTGTGTGATTAGGATTGAGGAGAGTGAAGTGGGTGCCTGGAATTGTGGCATTCAGGATTAAAGTTATGATTATATGACAACAGAAAGTTATTGAGGCAGTGTATTTCAGATTTGCACAAATTTTCTTCTCCATTTCTGGTTAATGGTTATCCTTTGTGTAGCTATGCATTGAAGTATGACTTAGGTAAATCATTATCTTCTTACCTTGAAGGAATTAGTAGCCTTTTATGTTTTGAAGATGCTTCTTTTTTTCTGTCCTGATGTGAGGAGATAAATGAGAATACTTTAAGCATTAAGAGTATGCTATCTGAACAGTTTAAACATAGGCCACAGTCTAAAAACTTGGTGACTGCAAAGGAGGGAAATTTGAAGTAGGAAAGGAATTTGAAGTAGGAATTAGAGTGTTTACTTACTTTTAAAAGAAAATGATGCTTTGATAGCAGAATTAAGGTGTTTTTCAAATGATTTATTACTCTGTCCTGCCTTGGTATCTCATGCTGTTCTTTTGCTTACTGTGTTTTTCCTACAGTGTCAGCCACTGACCTGTTTCACAGCTGGCGCAGAACTAGGGCTGGTGCTGGGTGGCAGTTAAGTGCTCAGGAAGGAGGTGGCTGAGCAGCCGTGTGCTTCAGTGCATCCCCTGTCACTGGAGAGATTGTTTTGCAGTCACAGTCTGGAGCTTGTGTATTGATCAGTCTGTCATGAGGAGTGATTCTCTCTTAATATCTAGGGCATGAAAATCTACCCAGGTGGAGGAAACTTAAAATCATCTGTTTTCAACAGTAGGCCTGTGAACCAGTTTGTGTGAGGGAAGAAGGAGTGGGAACAAATAGCTCATTAGTTAGAATCATAGAATATCTCAAGATGGAAGAGACCTGTAGAGGACCCATGAGTTACTCCACAGTGGTTACCCATATGCATATATTTACTTTGCAGGAAACTTCAGTTGTTTGAGATGTGTTATCTTTAAGTTAGAGAAGGTCGGTTATCTGAGGTGGAAGAAAATACACCTGGGCAGTTAACAAAGTAGTTAATTGGCATTAGTTATACCTAAAGTTATCTCTTTTAAGTTTTTGAACAAGAAAGAATTGGGAAAACCAAGAAAGTTACAAGTGATAGTGTTACAAAGGAAGACTCCAGAAAACAAGTTTGCAGAAGATCTGAACAATGATTTAGTGGTATGAACTTCTGCCTTGTTTCACTGGAATGAACTTTGATTGATTGAAACTTTACATGTAAATATTAGGTTTTTACTACTCATTAAACTACTTGTTGCTTTTGTTTGTTTTAAAATAAATACCTTTGAGGCTTACAGTGGCTTTGGCCTACTTACTAGAAGTGGATCAGTAATATGTAAATCATCAAAATCACTATCCAAACAAGCTCATACAGGGAAAAACTGTTCAGTTCATGTAGTTTAAAGCAAATGATGATTTAAATGATTTATTAACAATACATAATTAACCAGCAGTCAGTGAATTATATAGCTGTGATCAGTATCAGCAATACGATAAATCACAGTACTAGACATACACAGAATGCTAATACACCACTGCAAACTTCAAAATGCCCATTTGTAATCCCCCCAAATTCTAGTAGCATTCAATACACATGCCCCCCACCCAAGACGGTGTAGGTTATAAGCACACCCTGCTGCTTCTGCTTCTGTTATACTTCTGTTTGAGCTGATTCCTTCTTTGCTTTGAAACTCTTTGTCATTTTCTGGCAACTCTTCAAGCTAATGGTCTTCATCATCTTCAGTGTGATGAATATTGAGAAGCCACTATCTCAGACAGTTTTGGGTAAACTCTTCACATGTAGCATCTATGCTTGCGTTCCTCTCTTAACAGCTGTCATCTAGGCTGTTTTTCTAAGCGTGTGTTGTGCAGCCTCTTCCTCCCCCCGAAAATGTGGAGCATTGTACCATGCAAGGTCTACACTCCCCTCCAGTAGTCACTAAGACTTTGGCTAAAATCTGAATTTACTATTTGTGAGCATGTTCTTGTGTCATGATAAATGCTCTGAAGCTTTTCACCTATCTGTCTAGGTAAGTCATTTCTATCTTTTGGATGTTGTGTGAACACTGAGAGTTTATATTTTTGAATGCCAGTAATAACCAGAGATGTTGAACTTTGTTGTAGTGTTCTGTCACTTCTGAAGTGTTGACCAGGATGTGGTAAGGTTTGACTGTGTCAATGAGTGTTGAAGCTTAAGCTCAACCTCCTTGTGCTGACAACCTGAATTTTCATAATTATAATTTCATATTTTATTTCCTTTTGCAACACTACTCTGCACGAAGTCTTTTTTAGAAGCTGTGTGAGTTAACTAAACATGGGTCAGTCAGCCTTCAGCTTATTTGCCTACGGCAGTTAAAATGCAGAAGACCTGTAGGTGCTTGATGGGGTTTTTGTCTTGAAAGACTTCAGACTGATCATCGAATGATCAGCATGCTTGTACTATTTGTGCATTGAATCACTTGAGATCATGCATCCATGAATGTTTTGATCTTACAGAAAGTTGTTCTTTGAAATAAAGAACAAGTTGCTAGTGTTGCTGAGAGAGAAAATAGCTTTTAACAAGTTTAAAATAGAGCTTAGTAAATTTAGGAGGACAGTCAGTACATTAAGGATTAGATCCACTCAGCATATTGCATTCAGTGTAGCTGCTTTGAGTAATGGTTTGGAGAAGCGGAATGTCTGATGGAAATGACTGGCTGGGGAAAGTAGCTTGTTTCGTTTATTCGGAGGCAACAGGGGAGTGGGAGAGCACGCAACTTGTTTCTCATGTAGCTCCTTCAGTTCCAAGTGATTTGACATTCTAGTTACAATCTGCAGAAACCTTCTGGGTTAGATGTGATGTAAATGAAACATGTAGCAAGTAACAAAACCATAGCAGTCTTCGCACTCTTCGGAGGTCATGCCTGAAGTGTCTTCTGCTTATGTATGTTCCTGAATGTAGATCTTTCATTGCTGAGATTCATCAGTGCTGAACTAACAAGAGGTTACTTCCTTGAACACAATGAAGCGAAATACACAGAGCGAAGAGAGAGAGTATACACGTGCATGCGGATACCAAAAGAACTGGAAAAGGTGAAGTATACCTTAAGATTTGTTTTAATTTAGAGATTAAATATGTTGCATTAAATTATTAAAAGAAATATTTATTTTTCAAACACTTTTGCTAGCAAAAAGGATTTAAACATCTATAATGATTAATTTTCAGTGTTAGTAACTTCAACATTTGTGTTTCAGGGTTTTTTGCTTATATGTGCTTGTTGCTGCTGGCAACTCATGTTATTAGCAGACAGACATAACTAACTTTCAAGTCCAGATGATGACAAATTAATTCAAATATAAAGATGTCACTGTTCCTTAAAGGAATAGGCAAGCAAAAGGAAGCCTTTTACAGCAAAATTTAATTCTACGTTTTAAAAAAAGTAAATAGTTTTAAGGATTTTTCCGGTCTAAAATGTTTTGAGGGTGGGAAGATTTCAGTCCTTTAAAAGTATAGTGATGGATGAGTTTCTGTCTAAGGGTTTTAATTTAGTTTTCATGGCTTTCTATTTTGCTTCTTGACACTTTTTACTGCATCTTCCCTCTCTGGCCCAGTGCTATGGCCCTTCCTGAGGCACTCCTGCCACCTACTTTATGTCAGCTTAGATATAATTCTGGCCCGGTAGTCAGCCAATTCCAGTGCTGTAATGTAGAAGAGAGTTTTATTCTGGCTTAACCATTTTGGTTTGGGATTTTTTTGAATATGCTCAAGGATGATGAGTAAGGCAACATTGGTAATAAGGTTTGGCTAGGCTGCAGTGTAACGATAACATTAAAAGTCATATTGCTAAAATTCCCAAAACCTCTAGGGATTAAGTTACATGGTAGGGCTAAATCAGTTTAACTCTAACTTATATTGAAGGAAGAGTCTTGTTTCACTGTTCCTTCCACTTCAGTCTCCTGCCTTAAGCATGCTGCCAGTTTTGCATGAGCTATGGTGCTTGTTGGACCGTTCTAAGAGTTAAATGAGCTCATAATTCGGCAGTGAATGCTTCACTTTTCTTGCTCTATTTGTTCTTTGCTAGGATAGTGGGCTGAATTGCTCAGCCAATATTCTGGAGAACACAGAGTGTACGCAAGGGTGGAAGGGGAGCTATATAGCTTGGGGTAGGGCTAGAAAGATGAAAGAGCAGTGGAGGAGGGAGAGAGAGTAGGATTCGCTTTGTCAGCAGCACTCAGGTTCCTCCTTCGGTGTCATTAAATTCATCCTTGGACCATGATGAGACCTGGTTTTACAAAGCTAAATTCACAGTCAGTTACTGCAGAAAGTCACAGAATGAATGAGATTGGGATGGACCTTTGGAGATGATGTAGTCCAAGCCCTTGCTTAAAGCTGCGTCACCTACAACAGGTGGAGCAGGACTAGATTCAGTTGGGCTTTGAATGTCTCCAGGGATGGTGTCTTCATATCCACACTGTTTACCCATTCCAGTTTACGGCAGAATATCCCACTTATGGTAGAGTCTCAGCTGAAGAATACAGTTCTACATCATCTTCATTGTAATTATGTAGACTATTACATACCGTCTCCAAGCCACAGAAATTGTTCTGAAGGATTATCAGCACAGATTTCCGATGAAACCTTTAGTGTGTAAGAACAAGTGAAGGCCAACAGTCTTTTATAAATAAGGTTGATGCTGTAAGTGGTGATATTGCTGGGTTTTGCATGGTAAATCAAACTTCAGCCTGTAGTTTGAATATGAAAAGATACGAAACTGAGTAATAAGCAGGTAGATTTAAAAAGTGGTAGTTATATTTTTGCAGAGAGATTATGAAATAAATTTGTTAGTTCTTTGCACGGGCTTAGTCGAGGTTAGTATACATACTAGCCATATGAAATTGAATCGTACTCGTTGAAAAAAATTGAAGAAGTATGATAATGAGCACCTAGAAAGAAAACTAAATAGTGTACAGATCATCACCTATTGCAGGAATCACTTGACTGTGCGATTCAAAAGTCTGCTTAATTCAAGTAAAGCATATGAGACACTAGGAAAGGAAGAGAAGAATTTTCTTAATGGCTTGTATTGTTTATTACCTAATAGTATAATTACGGCCTACGAATGAAAATCATAATTGGGTAGAGTGAGAATAAACTGGAGTAAATTTATCAAAACCTAATCTCAAGAGATTTTCTTTCACATGCACTTATTACACGTACATAATTTTAGAGTGGAGTGTGATATTAAAAGGGTAGTATTTTGTTGTTGTTGTAGTTCTGAGTACCTGTTTTTTATTTAGAGAAGCTAGATAATTTGTAATATAAATGCTACTTCCACTTGAGCTTTTTGTGCAGTTTCAGTAGCAGCTCTTCATTGTAGTAGGCTATTTATACTAAATGAAGAGGTGGTCCTTATTCCTGCCATCTTAAGAGAACACTTGTCGATTGATCTCAAAATTAAACTTTGTGCTTTTTTGCTAAAATATAGTTATGATGATAGAAAAGCTCTGTAAGCTTTTCTGTTAACTCCTCAGTATCTGGAATGTAGCAGCAGAAGTAATGATTACAGAAATGGGTGAAAGGTTCGGTGCTGATTGTATTTCAACGGGTGCATGTAAACGTGTAAGTGCAATGTAGTAAAAAATTAGGAAAATGAGGACACTAAATAATTGCAAATATTAATGTGAGCTTATGGAATGTGAAAAACTGTAGTTACACTCAGGCAGAGATCTGTCTACATCACAAAGAAAATGCAGAGCTGATTTCTAGATTATAAAGATGCCCTCAAAGAATACAGGGGCAAAATGACAGGCTGTCTTTCTATTTTGCTTGGGTTAAGGAGTTTTTAAAAAAAAAAACAAAACCAATACAGCTCCAGTCGTTCTCGGTTGGATATTCAGCGCATGGTTTAAAACTTAACAAAGAAATAGGTAACTTAATGGCATATTAAAATACAATGCATAAATTAATCTGTTTGTAATCACTGCTCCTGACAATTTTGACTGATAACTCTCTGCTGAAATTTTAGAAAATGGTACTAGAGGTGAATGAGTGAATATCAGGGAGGAGACCTTAATGTTGTGATGGTATTGAAGTACAGACTGCAGAGTTGGTAGAAATAGTATCATAAGGGAAAGCAACAGCTCAGCGATGATAGCATGGCTCTTGTACCTGAGTCAGTCATCTTACATGGCTTGCGGATAGATGTCCTGGTGTGTACTCTGTAGGATTGCTTTCAAAGTAACAAGGATGCATGAGGGGTAAGAGTGAGAGAAAGGTACATATCAGTGATATTAGCTTACTGGACATTAAACTGGCTGTTGCGCAAGCTGACAAAGAAGGTATTTTGCAAGGCAGAGAGATTGTGGGAGATAAAATTGATTTACTTGTGCTTTGGTTTACTTCCCCCCACCCCCAAACCAGCGTCTTCCTTTTGCATCAGCAGTACAAACAGTTTTCACATGTAAGTGCATATCTGTCATGGGTATCTAGGCCTGCTTCGATGTTGCTAGTCTTAATTGTGTAGCCAGTTAAGCTTGCCTTTTTATGTGATTTTCCTTGCAGGAAAAAACACTAGCTTCTGGTATGACAGAAGCATAAAAGCGTGTGCCTAGAGTCCTATTCAGGTAAATCTTAGATACATTCAAAGAGCAGATAAAGAAGGAATGTCCTGTGGGGAGAGTCTGGTATATAAGAGCTTTCTAATTGCAGAGTTTAGGTCTAGTTTAGTTATCATAGAATAGCTATAATGAAATGGCTTTAACTGTTCCTGTAAGTTAAGGATAAAGCATTTAAACTGAGGGCAACTGGAAGTTTACCTCTTCATATTTTATATTCTTCTCTGTGTGGAAAAGGTGAATATTCTCTGAAGGAGAACTACCACAGCTGTAATTAGCTGTGCAACAGAAGATTAACAAGGTTAAAATTGGGGGAGGAGGGGCAGGGCATATTAAAAAGGAGGTAGGCAGAAGGTGGCTGTGCATGGCTGTGTATGTGTACATACAGCTCTACCTTCTTTTTTTTTCCCACTAAGATTAAAAACATTAGATTTTGTAACCTTAGAGGAAAGTCACCATTGGAAAATGAGCTACAGTTAATATCCAAGTGCAATCCATCTTTTCAATAAACACTGAGTTCGGTGAGCGATGGAAGTCTGCAAAAGCCTTTGCTGCTTGGACCTTGTGGTGCAGAATTTCTGCTGAATAGTCTTCCAAGTGCGTAGCGTGTAATTTTCTTACAGCTCAGCTGATTGAAGAAGTGAGAGTGTTGTGCTTATTTGGTTAGTCTAATGTAAATGTATTTTTCATAAAATAATGTAATTCTTTATAAACTTTTTGCAACTCTTTGTAAACTGCTAACATACTTCTGTTTTATTTTTGTAATTTAGTTGATGTTTTTTGGAATCTTTTTGTGCCTGGATGCTTTTCTCTATGTATTCACCCTGCTTCCTTTGAGAGTTTTTCTGGCAATGTTCCGGTTCATCACTTTGCCTTGCTATGGCTTACGGTAAGTTGATTCAAGAGAAAGGTGTTCATATACTTAAATAATGTTTCTCTATTTATGTGTGTGCTTAATTTTATGGCCTTTCAGTGCTGTTTGAACTACTCATGACTTCTTCCACTGTAAAAGAGAACTTTCGGTCTAAACTTGCCAAAGCAAAGGTGTGTGTGGGACCGTTAAGCTTTGCCAGCAGTCACTAAATGTCAGCGTTGTTTCGTTCAGACACAACAGGTTGATAACAGCACCACTTAGGCATATTCAGGTTAGTAAAGGGCAGGGATATAACCTTACCCTATCATTTTGTTCTTTTACCTAACATCTGTTTGAACAGTGGTTTAAGATTTCTTAGACTTGAGTTGATGACTTGGCTCATGTCTTTTGGTAGACTTTTTGATATTGAAACAAAACTTTTATTTTTTTACAACAGAAGTTTTCTTTATTTCAATGGTAAACTTTGCCCAAAGGATCCCTGAATAAAATGTGCTAATTTCTTTCCTTCAAAGAATCTTGCAGACTAATTGGATGAGACTAACTAATCAGAATAATATTAAAGAAATTATAGATCTTAACCCCTTGCTTTTTTGTTCAGATCAATACTAAGAAGTTGTTGCTAATACATAGGATTTTTGGTTTGCCTTTCTGGCGTAGGTATGAAAAATTGGGTAGAATTAATTACCTTCATTAAAGTTGCTACTTCACGGTAAAGCTGATTATGTAAACCTTATGTGTAGCCTAAAAGAAAAGGAATATTTGTGTCAAGTTGTGATTTTTTCCTTGAATAAATAAGGGCTTCAGGGTTTTCATTCTGGATTTTCCCCAAACCTGAAGTTGATTTATGGTAGCTGTTGTTTTGGGTTTTTTTGAGTGCTTGCATTTGGATTATTAATAGTCTTTTATATGTGAAGTGCTTTTAGATGCATAGTTTAGAATGTATCTTCTGATTAGAGCAACTGCTATGCATAAGAAAAAATATTTGTAAGTATGCTCTTAAGTTGAAATGTTTGTACTTCGGTGATGCTTAACATAGGCACTAGGTGGCAGTCTCTAATATTTTATTGCATTGTTAATTTTGAGCTGAATCTCAGACTTTCTTGATATTAAGAGAGTTTTCCTAGCTGTGTAAAAAAAAGTCAGCCATTTAGTTTTAGCCTGATGACAAGTCAAATTATGTGTCTGTTTGTAAATAACTGTATGAATGCTATTGCCAACATTAAAATTCAGGTAAATGTAATGGATTTTAACCTATGATTTGGATCTTACTACTTTTTTCTGTTTAGAAAGTGTTCTTCCTTATTTATAAACCCAGCTTTGCTTTTGACAAACAAGTTTTCTGCTCTTCTGAAATTACGATTAAAAATTTGAAAGACCAGTTGCTAGGTTTGGGTATTGTTCAATATACTGAAGAAAGCAGCATTGAAAATACCATATACACACACCTGCAATGTTAAAACTTAGTCTGCTTGCTTGACAGTATTTTTAGTGTGTGAGGCAGGGTAGAATCCAGTTTAATCTATTCAACTTGACTATGTTAACTTTAAAGTGTTACCAGGTAAGATACAGTGAAACTAAGATTATCTTGAGTGAAGAAGTTTGTTTTGGTGGTGTTTGTTTTTTTTTTTAACAATTCCTGAAGCGATTTATTTTGTCACAGTTTCCTCAAATGTTTATGGAATTTATTTCCTAGAATCTCTTTATTTGTTCACTGCTTGAGTCTTTGTCTAGTTCATTAATGTTTTAAAGTTGGTGGCTTTTTACTGAAAGGTTCACAATTCGTGTTTATAGTATGTAATGGAACTTTCAGATGTCATGATTCTTGTTTCCACATATTCAGAGCCTGCACTTTGATTTTGTGGGGTTTTTTGCTGTTTTTCTTGTTATGCTGTTATGGAAAAAAAGATGTGGGATTTTCTTCTAGCTCAGGAAAAACATTTTTATGTGTTTGTAACAAAATAGAGTTCAATAGGTAAAACACATCTGTAACTACAAAAGGTACTTACAAAGCAGGTGGCTGTTTATATTTTAGCTTGCTCTTTCTCACGAATGTCAAGTAAGTGTTGAGAGACATGACTAGTTGTTATTTGAACCTGCCACATCATATTCCATTCTATGTAGTAAATAAAAGTGCTCCTCCCTTCATCTTGACTTTTTTCTCAACATCTCAGTGAAGTGATTGAGCAGTGGGTGTTCTGTCTCCCTTCCAGTTTACTCTTCATTTATTTCCTCATAACTCTATCTGCTCTTTTTAATGTAGAAAAAGATTATATTACCCATTATTTCTTTAAAACAATAAAACCACATTCCATGTAAGATGGGCTAATTCCTGTCTATGGTATTGTGTGCAGTGCTTAAATGTAGGGGGAGCGCTTTATAGCCTCTTCCACATGTTTTAATATTCCATTTTACAGAGCTCTGAAAGGGGAGAGAGTAATGTATCTTAAAGAAACTTTTTTCCTTTTTCTGCCTAGACAGTACAAGTACGTCAGTTTGACTGCTAAGTTGTCATTCCTCATCACTTGATCTTTCCTTTTGAGTAAATTTAATTCTGTGTATTTGTCAGAGCTGTATTGATGTTAACATAGGTATTTTAGAGAGAGGCTCAAAAACTTCAGTCAGAAGAATCCAAGATTCTGTCATTAAGTAACCTAAACTGCTGGTTAAATTGCTGTGGTCAAACTGGCAGAGTCTGAATCATCGCATTGTGGTGGTTTTGGCAGGTGCAATTTCATTACTTCTGTGCTCTGTAGATAGGAGGGTGCTCTTAAAAAAAATTAACAAGCGCTCACTTAAATTACATCTTCTGAAGTTACAAAAAAAAAAAAAATCAGCTCTGCTGTATTTTCTTCCAAGTTATGGAAAGAAGCTTCCTAAATTATTCTCTTTGAAATTCATAAACTACTCTCATTTTATTAAAACAGTTCTTTGACAACATAAAAGCACATACTTTGCTGGAACAACAAATCTAAGGTAGAGAGGGAAGTGGACTTGGTGGAGTTCTCTTCAGAATTACAGTCCTTGATGACAGGTTCCTAAAACTAACTCTACCTGTGGTTGAAAGGTGTGGTTTCATTTTACAGTTCAGACATGTTTTTTTATTAATACCTCAGACCCAGAGATTCTGAGAAGATTAATATCTCTGCCTGTTTTGAAACACTTCTATAGAGCTAACTTTTTGTTTTTCTTGAAAATATATTGCACATGAATCAGAGCTCTTATGGGAATGTGGAAAAGCTCTTCTGTATTATTTGAAAAATACCATGATACGAAAGCTAAAATTGTGTGCTAGAGAAACTCTGATGGGACTCCCAATTTAATTACACTTAAAGGCATTTTACGTCTTTTCCGCAAAGCAAGTAAGGACTTGTTACGGAAACTGAGAGGTTTTTTCTTCCAAATTCTAATTTTCTCAAGAAAATACATAAGTAGATTATGAATTTTCTTACATGTGAAGATTGATTGACAAGATCTTTACATTTCTTCCATGTGGAAATAGGTGTAGATTATAAATGTGTTCTGTGTTTTTCTTTTAATCTGCTCTCTTCTCCCTGAAATAAGTGAAATAAGTGAATTTAGGTCCTGTCAGCAATAACATTATTAAGTTCTGTTGTATTATGTGTACCTCTTAAAATTCCTATTGCCCTCCTGTGAAATCATAGGTTCATGCTTTTCTGGAGGAAATAAATACAACAGCATTACTTCAAGAAAGAGACTGTAGAAAGAAAGCATCCTAGGAGAAAAAAAAAAACAAACCAATCAACCAAAGAAATATCCTGGCTTTCTTATTATGGACATTATTTCTTTGTTCTTATTATCAGGTTATTAAATAAATTTGAACCTCTGTTGCACACTTACTCCCAAGGCTAATTTTTTTTTTTTGCTAGGGTCTGTAGCTGTTAAATATGTAAACTTCTGTTGTCTGATTAAGTTCATTGAGAAAGTAATGCACCTGTCCACCAAAATGTGTGGCTTTCTACCAACCAAAAAAAGGCAGATGCATTCAGTATTTTCTGTAGTAAACTCTCAGATCAAGTACTCCTTTCTCCTTTCCGTAACAGTGCATAGTGTAGCAACATTACAACCTTCTCTTTCTTTCTTTCTTGTAAATCAGACCGAAGGGAAGAGCACTTTCACTTCCTTTATAGGATGGAATGTGGTGTCACAGGGATTCCTCCTTGGTGAGTAAATCCTGATTTTCTTTTTCCTTCTGTGCTGTCAGCCAAATTCACACATCTACGTGTAATCAGTAAAGACTGGTTACAAATTAATAGTATAGCTAAATTAACGAACATACTTCAAGGGAGAAACCAACACTTAGTTTTAATAAACAACACATGACATTGATTCAGTGCTGTTTATGGTAGGTATATTTTATTTTGTACCTTTGCATCACTGTGGAAATGGGTTGTGATCTTAATAGATTTAAAACATTTTTTACATAGAGTACCTGTGGACCAGTTCAACCCAATTTAAAATAGGGTATCTTGGAAAAACTGTAGCCCCTGCTGTACTTAGTTTGTAGTGCCTTAAGCTTTTTTATGTTTAGTCTAAGTAACATTTCAGTCAGGTTCATAGCTATGTTTTTGTGTGTACTTCAAGCAGGTGTTTTTTTTTTTTTTTTTTTGTAATGGGTAACATGAATTTTGGGGAGTTCTGAAAAATTCATTGCCAGGTATCTTAGTATTAGACTTGAAGTTGATTCTCTGCATAATAAAATACAGCATTTTAGCATGTGTTTATTTACTGACTTCAGTTATAGCTGGTTCTGTTATTAAAAAAAAACAAGCTTAATGAAAGCTAATTCTAGTTGTCACTTATTTGAAACTTCGTGTTTTTTATTTATTTTGAGACAGCTCTCATCGAGGCCTAACAGCAAGGTTGGTTTCGTTTCATTCTTAGCATGGTCTCGTGCTGTGTTGTGTGCATGTAGAGACTTTTTATTGTTTGAGAAATGAAATGCCATCTAATCTTGGCAAACTCAGCCCTCTGTATCTTAGAATTCTTCATTTGGGACATGTTTTTATCATCACTTAGTCTGTATATCTCACAATTTTACAACAGTGAAGTCCTGCATACTGTAAACTGTATCTCTTTTTAAAGTCTCAAACTGGCTATTAGATTTGATCAAAATAGCTTTTCTTCCTGAAGCCAAACTTAATTCTAAACTTGAGCATAATTGCAGGAAGATATTTCCAATAGATCACTTTGTGCATTTCAAAAATTCTTGGTGTGTAACTGTAAGGGCAAGTATGCCCTTCAGACAAACTTGCTTGGGTTTTATTTTCCCTGACATCTTTATTTAGTATGCTGACAGGAAAATATCCCCTTATGTGTTAATGTGATCGTTCTTGTTAATGCTTCATACAAGAGTAGAAATTTATGATACCACAGTTTGTTAATGAAGGATACATTGAAGGATTAAGACTTTGATCAAGACTTAATATCTACATGTAAAACAAAATCCCACAGTTCAGTTTCCATACAAATATCTGAGATGTAAAAATGGAGAATGAAAAGATATCTAAACAAAACTTTAACTAGACCACCATTTCAATAACTGGAATATATTATTAATTAATATAAACCTTAGTGGTTGTCTAACTATTTCAAATTATTAATATTGAATAAATAATACAGTTAGAAAAGGTTTGCTGTAAAATACTTGTTCAAACTTGTAACCTCAGTGCTAAAACACTTCTTCAATGCGTTATTAGCCAAACAGTAAACCTATATAAGCGAAAAGGATTTTTTAATAGTGTGAAGTACAATAGTGGTTATGGAAATAATACTGTTATCCTGAGAGGTTATAAATATGTATATATATATGCAGGTGATTAAGTTAATTATTTAATTAAGATTAAAATACCCATCTAAAACATTATTGCAATAATAGTGTATTCATATCTTTAAATTACTGTATCTGTGATATCAGTATTGGAAACTTTATGCTAATTGTCAAGGAGTAATTATTTAGAGTAATTGCATTATTTGGATGAGACTATACCAAAGGAACCAATTAAAAATGCAGTAAACTGTAAAATTAAATGAGAAAGACTTCTTGAATTCTTGTTGTTTGGGTTTTGATTTTTTTTTTTAAACCTACTCTACAAGGTGACTGGAAAACCATATATAATCAGACTAGTGAAGAATTGAGAAGCACCAGAAGGCCTGAAAGACAAAAGTAAAGAAGTTGTATGATAGCATATGACAGTCTGTGCAGAGTTAAGTTTAAAATAATACGTACAGAGTGTTTATGCATCAGATGCTGAAGTAAGTACTAGGACAAGTAGACTTGTCTACAGATTACTTTGTATACAATATAGGGAAAACATTGTTCATTTTGCGATGATAGTTGCTGAAAAGCATACCATAGATGACTGTAGTGACCTTTTTTTTTCCTGACTTTTTTAACACAGTAAGAACAAATCCCTGTTTTTCCTGGGGTGCATTTTATGTTCCAAATGGTTTAACCGCTTTAAATTCAATAAGCAAGGCTTATTAAAACGCTTAACAGCCGACTTTGGTTTTTTTGGAAGTCAGTTACTTAAGCAAACTTGTGATCTGTAACATATTAAAGCCAAATATCAGTAAACCATGATTTATTTTTAATAATACTCTATTTAATGGTGAGTAACTTTAATTGTACAGCTGTTAGGGAAAAAAAAAGGGATTGGTAGGATTGATGCCAATACACTGAAAGCCTTGAGTTGTTTTTCCTCTTTAATAACTTAAAGGAAAAATACTGTGAAATCCAACATGGTGTTCAGTTGAAACAGTCACAAATGTTTTATCTCGGTAGTATGACCATTTATATGGTTATAACCCTTATGAATGATTGAACCAAATGTTTTTCAACCAGTAGATGGACACAGGACTCTTATTACTATATGAAATAAGGATCATGGCCTGTTGAGTATAGTGTCAAATAGACATACCTTGAAAATGACAGTCAGGTAACTAGTTCCTTAAACTTTTGCTTGTCTAAGGAGATTGCTTATCACGAACGCTGGTTTTCACACCAAATTTTTCTTCAATGGGTAGCTGTTTTATATATATTTTGAAATAAGTTTGACTCTTAATTTTGTAACACTTAGAGTGGATTTTCTTACAAATGTCACAAGTAATCATGAAAAAAAACTTATTTTCTGTTGTTCCTAAAATGTATAGAACAAATCTGTGGGTAGCCAGAATATTTGGTGGTATTATAATTTAATAGTATTTTAATTTAATTTTCTAGAATAGCAAAGTAATTCTTCGTAACTGTTTATAAGGAAAGGTGCTTGTTTTTAGCTTTCTAAAGGGGGAGGACATACACAGGTCTGGTGGTTTTCTAAACACAGGAAAGACTTGGATTCACGCTTTCTAAATGTGTCTCAAGATGGACAAACCATAATGTGGAAAGTTTGAAGCATGAGTATTAAACCTTGAGCTTATGAATTGTGTTGAAAAAAGTATGATTTTTTTTTTCTGTAACAGACTGGTTTTCTCAATTCTTAGTTCTTGGATGATGTCAGTCGGTGCACTGTATAAATTTTGCTGTAGTTTCACTTTCAACTCTCTCAAACAGTGTGTGATAAGCATTGATCTTGACATGCTTCTCTTTTGTTAATTGACTGGGCTGAAACAGAAGCATGCTATGGTGGAGTAGGGAGGTAGAGTAGTAAGGCTTGCACATCACTTATGTTAAAATGAATAATAAGCTTGTATATCCCCTTAAGCATGCGTTTGTATAATTATATTATCTAGAGACGTAAGAGTTTGTTTCAGTGGAGATTTTCTGTCAATTAGTAGACATAATGGTAAATGTACCCAAAGGCTGAGGAGTTTGAACATCTTGTTAAGTACGTACTGTAGAATATTGAAGTCCCTGCATGTGTTTTTTCTGTGTTGTCTTAATTTGCTAGTTAGTGTTACAGTGTGAGAGAGTTTATCTGGAGAGGAATGCTTGGATTTTCACTCTGAATTCGTGCAGATTGAAGGATCATCTCATATTTAAACAGCTTGGTATATTCAGCGGTACTAATAGTAAAGCAATACAAGATTTTATATAGTGGATAATAGGAAGAATGGATAAGCCTTACTCTTTGCTATTAAGGTACTTTGATGTTTGAAAAAGTTTAATTTAAAAATTTGATTCCTTGGTAGTCTTGTCTGTACAGCTAAACAGGAACTCGAGGCTTAGCATAATGAAACCGCATATAAAATTCTGTGAAGAGCATCTTGGAGAGCATGACTTACAGCAAAAATGTTAGAAGTGATAGTGGAATAATGGCAGAAAATAATCAGGTGAAAAGACAGAAATCATGTATCTTAATAAGGTGCATTTGAAGGACAGTCCAGGTGCCCTGAAACCACATATTTCCTGGTTTATGAGATGTAAAAGTTGTAATTTAAATTATACTCAGCTGTATAACCAGCCAAATTGTGAAACAATTCACATAACATTATTTCTGGAATCCAGTAGGATCTTAGAGGAACTGCATATTGGACAAAGGCTCTCATGATACTGTCTTTTAAGAGCAGAGTTCACTAAAGCCGGGAAAGTGTTACTGTTTAATTCACTCCTGCAGCATAACAGTATACCTGGGATAGCTTTGAAGGAAAAGACCAACTGATTTCTGTAGAACGATTCTACTGCTTCCTGGTTTGTAACTGGAATGATTAAATATAAAATAACATAGTTGTTATGCTCTTTATTTATTGTTCTCCTTTTCTCACTCCTGAGAAGAAACACCCATAACTAATTTTCAC